TTAAGTAAGTAAGTAAGTAGTACGTACGTACGTTACGTTACTTACTTACTACTACTACTACTCGTCTCTACTTACGTCGTACGTAGTAGAGTAGTCGTAGCGTACGTACGTACGTACTACTACTCTCTCTCTCTCTCTCTCTCTCTCTCTCTCTCTCTCTCTCTCTCTCTCTCTCTCGAATTGTGTGTGTTGAGTGTGTGGGCATTGCCATTTTTGCCCACTTCAATAGCAGTGTCTCTCTCTAGCATTGTGTGTGGTAAGCATGTGGGCATTGCCATTTGCCCCCCATTTCAATAGCAGTGAGAGAAGACCGGGTTTTTAAGATCTACCATTTTGAGCGAATGATGAATCTAACCATCAATTGAATATACTCAAATCCTTTGAGCGTTTCTCAAAATCCATGGTGTAAAAGTGAATTTGTTGAAGCATCTTCAAAACCAACTTTGAGAAACCAGCGGCACTCAAATAGAATTCCCAATAATAAACAGGTACCCAGTTTCTTTCAAATTTAATAACAGACAAAAAGAAAACCACTTTACAGTTTATAAAGAAAAAACATTCTACCGCTTGTTTCAGTACGGTTGGGTTTGACTGAAGCCATAATAGAAAAGTGAATGGCACGCACTAACATGACACTTCTATACTCCAAAAGGCCTATGTAGCATACATCCGCATATTCAATCTGCAATTTTATTGTTGGGGCAGGACCTAGTTAGCAGGAAAAGTTCGTATTTAGTCAGAGATCCACTTGATGGACACTCATAATTTGCCACATAAATGTTCTTAAACAGCATTTAACCTTATTATTTTTGAGAAAAAGTGGCTAGATCACAGCTCTACACAATCTTGGATGGTGCTCTAGTGGCACATCTAGGTCTGCTTTTAAGGTTTTAAGGCATAAGGAGAGGGAGGCTGGGTATGCATGGTTTATAAAGAGAAGGGATTTGAATTGATGCCCCGTAATTAATTGCTATGGAATTTATGTCATTTTCGTAGTGTGGGCATATGTGTTTAATAATTAGAGGATGATATAAATAGTTACGACTATTGGGTCCTCGATTAGGAAGGTGATTGGAAATGAGTGTACGTCCTAGGCATATTTGGTCACTGCATAATGTAAGGTTCGTTGATCGAGTCATTCTTTCATTCTCTATATGGTGATATAGTTTTCTTTAATCTTAGTTACTAGGTATAGGGGGTCTCCACCCCTAAGGGCCTTACTATTTAAGAGGACAGTAATACAATATATAATTTTGACACGGATAAATTTGGCAACAAGTATTCCAACTCCCGCTTTTTTTGTCATGTGAAGGATGCACATGGAGGCAATCTATGACCTACCCAATCACTGTTGCAAGTTTGTAGGATGAACATGAAGTTTCTAAATTAACATGGTAAGTTTTCTTCAATTTGCTATGCTAGCAGCATAACTTCAAGATTTTAGGAAAAACACTAACTAGACATTACACCAGTATACTCATATCGCATACTGTTAATTTATTTCATGAAAAGAATGTTTGGTTATAGCACGGGAGGCTTATTATGCAAATAACATCCAATCAAAAAAAGGATAATATCATGAACCACAGAATTGTTCATCATCTCTGTACATAACATTAATCTCTATGTTTTTTCCTTTTTTTTTGAAGTGGACAATAGATGCATTGCCAGTTCATAGTCATTGTTTTCCTAAGACAAAGGAAATGCATGAAGAAATAGCAAACAGCATCCTAAAGCTCACCATATGCACTCGCTCTCCAGTCCTTATGCGTGCATTTGGTCGAGCAAGCTTGGATTCAAAAGGAGTCCTTGGCCTTATCTCCTGGATCTTGTCCCACTCTTCCCGAGTAAGCATCCTCACCATTCCTGTGCCTGGAGGAGCGTTTTGAATTTTTCTCTCAATCCGCTCTTGGGATCTGCTCTCATCAATCTGCAGATCAAAACCATTGTATCAACTTTCTCCAGAGTGGTCCTTAAAGAGAAAAGTTTATTTTTGAGTGGTCACAAAATTGGAAAATACCTCAATTAAAGTTTTTTCCATCACAGGAAAAAAACCAGTTACTGAATGAAACTTAATTTTTTAAATTGTTGTGGTTCTTAAATTACAGAGAGTATGCTTTAAATTCCTCAAAATTAATAACTAAGAAAGGAGAAGACAAATTTTCTAAAGGTCATGTCAATGTGTAGTTTAGACCGTTAATTTCTAGGATCAAATAGCATAAGACACCAAAAATAACTTGAAAATGGTACGAAGAATAAACTTCTTCCAAGATTAATTTGACAAGCCACCCAATGAATTCCCATTATAATCTAGTATCATATAAACAGTTGTGACAAAAAACTATATGAAGAATCAAAAAAAATATAGTAACATAGCAGACATTAATGCATAGCACAAAAAAATAAGGTGTACTTTTATAAGATGACCATGACTCAAATTTCAGAATTATTGATATGTAAGAAACTAAAAGGGGCAAAAAATGTGGTTCCCTGACGAATCTTGTTGGGATACACTAGGGGGTGTGTGTGGCACATGCGCGCACCTCTGTGTGTGTGTGTGTGTGTGTGTGTGTGTGTGTGTGTGTGTGTGTGTGTGTGTGTGTGTGAGAGAGAGAGAGAGAGAGAGAGAGAGTAGTACGTTACGTAGAGAGTGTCTCGTCTCTCTACTAGTAATAACTAAACTACAACTAACTAATTAACTAACGAAGACTACTACTTACCTTAACTAACTAACTAC